GTTTAACCCCTTTCCGTTTTAACAGTACAAATTCTATGAACACCCTCCATATTTCTTCAAAATCATTTCTCCTACATATTCCCCCTTCTTACCTCAATGGCATATGTTAATTTATCATTAATCGCTATATCCCAAACAAACCTCTTTGCACCATTCTTCCATTTTACATTCTGCTTGCCCCTTCCACTTCCTAGCTATCATAATTCGTGCAGCTGTCAATAATAACGAGGCTCTTTTAAGAAGGGGAGGCACCACTAGCTCCTTCAAGGTGGATGGTACCTCCCTGCCCCATTTTGGGGAGCTCTGGTGAACTAAGATGGACAAGGATACAGAGGGCAGGTGGTTGGCTGCACTCCTACAAAGAGTGAGTCTTCATCCTCAGGCTGCAATAACTGAAACTGATCCTGTACAGATGGAACAGGCAATGCTCTGGATGTCTCTGTAGGACTTACTTTAACTGTGGCATCCATTTCTCCCTGAATCTGAACAACCTTTTCCCTAAAGCAGGCATATCCAAAGTCTGTTTTGGGGGCCTAATCCAGCCCGCCAGTTGGTTTGATCCAGCCCCTGTGGCAGTTTATTTCCTGGGGTAAAATCCTAAAAAAACCTCAACAACTTCAATCCTAAGAAAAAGGTCAACAACCTTGGTTTGTTGGCCCTCTTTGAAGAAAGTTTGGACACCAGTGCCCTAAAGTGCTTTGCAAAATTGTCATAGCAAGCTTCAGTAGGGGGGGCAGAGCAATGCTTTCCCAATCAGATGGCAAAATCCCATTCTTCACTTGAAACAGCTCTGCCAGAGACAATGGTGGTGAAAAAAGTAAGCTTTCTTCACCACCACCAACATAGTTATGGGCTATAATGTGCTCTCATCCATCTTCGGTCAGCTTCAGATGGGCATTTATGTGGGAGATTGCAGTCGAACTAAACAAATGCATACCCTTGCTAGTTAGTAAGTTTAAGGGCAAACAACCAGAGCAGCTTGATAGGCAGACTCAAACCATAGGAATGTAACTGATGGGGAGAGAGAGCTCTGTGTGATGTCATTTCCCCTGTTTCTAGTAATGGGAAGAAACAGGAGATATAAACCCTTTTCCTGTTGTTCTCTCTCTCTGTGTCTTCTTTTCACCATGATTCTGATGCTGATTGGACATGTTCCTGGGATCCAGGCACAAAGACGGACTTTAGAAACTAAACTCTGTATTGTAATTAAGAATGCTGTACCTGCATATTTTTACTGCTGCCTTTGCTGTGAACCAATGCAAGAACATTAAGTAAGAAAACACTATTTTTAAGACTTACTTCATAAGTTGTTGCCTGATTCTTTGTTATGCAAGGTAAAAAAAGGAAAGCTGGCTTATTTCATAAGCTGCAATTGCTCAGAATAAAAGGAGGCTTTGCGACTTATTTTCCTAAGATTTCATGCTGTCAAGGATAGGATTTTAAAAACTCGGTTTAAACCCACACACCTGGGAGACTGGAGGGATAAATTGTAATTATTATAGCCACTCCAACCTAACAAAAACCCCATCCCACAACTTACACCAATTTTGCAGCCATTGGCCCTCCTGTTTCATCAGATACAAGTCACTCCAATGTGCTCTGTATGCTCCAATGCAACAGGGATCGCACTCAGGAGTAACTGAATCAATGGTCCTATGCATCTCACCATTCCATAGTGAGACAATAGTCTCAACAGAAATGCCAGCCACGTCAACTGGAAAATCCCCCAAAGAAATCAGGAATCCATCAGATGCCATAAGTCTCTGTGGTACAGAGCATGGAGCGTGGTCCCCTTGAAACATTCAATCCAAATGTCACCAGGGAGTGATCCATCCATGACAACAGACAATAGTAGCCATTCAATATTTGGATTTTGCAAATGGTTTTGAGGAAGCCTCTCACCAGCTGCTCCTAAGAGAAACCAAAAGGCTCTCTTATGGATCAGAAACAGCTTAAATTGTACAGTGTAGCAGCAAAAATTAAACCGACTGTTTTCCTAACAGAAGGGAGTGTGGTATTCAACTCATGCATACATGACATGGAATTCAAAACTGATGGCAAAGAACACCAACTTGGCCACTGTGGGAAGGACATTGCAAGACAATAGTCAATGCAAATAAGTGCAAGATGATGCAGGCAAAATAAACAAGCCCATACTTCACATTATGCTGATGGGGTCTGGACTGCCTGTCTATGCAGGAAATCAGTCTTGCGTTTCTGAAGGGAGGATCACTGAAAGCAATGCAATACAGCACAGCAGTGAAAAAATAGAAAACTGAGGCTTTCATAGAGGACACAGGGCCGGCCCAACCAAGAGGCAAACTGAGGCGACTGTGATTGCCTCAGGCAGCTGGATCCACTGGGGCAGCAGATCCCCAATGACTACCCTTTTTACCCCTTTGTCCCAATGTAGATTTACCCTCACCCCTTCTTCTCTGGCAGGGAGGAGGCACCATTTGGGGGTCCATCTCAGGTACTCTTTGGCCATCCCTGGGATAACAGGTCTAGCACAGCCATTGGCCATGACCCTTAACTGACTTGGAGCCCCCCATCCACACCAAATGCCCTTATTGTCCAACTGAAAACCTTGTGCTCTCAAAATTTCCTGGTTGCCCCATTGTTGTGCTCATAACATAAATGTGTTCCACATGTGGAATGTCCCCTTTTTGCTGTTGCAAAAGGAAAAGTGCTATGGATGCCACATGGCAGCATCACACACCCCACATACACTGGTGCCAATGCAGCGGAGACTGGCCCAGTAAGGAGAATGGGGGCACTGACCCACCAGCCTCAATTTGCCCTCAGCCAGCCCCCTTCCACCTTCCTGCCTTCCTACAATCAGCCCAGGAGGTGGTCCTGGCTGGCAGCTTCCTCCTCCTTCTCAGTCTGAGTCTTGCCCATGCAATGGATTGGGTTGGCCCCCCACTCCGAATGCGCCCGCTCCCTGGGAGACTAGCAGCCAAACTTAACAAATGCATATTCTTGCTAGTTAGCATGAGAAGGGGCCAGGTCCACAGAGCAGTTTTACTGATAGGCACTCAGACCATAGAAATGCAATTGGTAGAGAGGGCTCTGTGTGGCGCCATTTCTCCTCCTGGAAAGGAATAAGCATATAGCAGTTCCTGTTCCTCGCTCTCCCTCCCTTTGATCAGCACTGGATGCAGACATTCCTCTGCTTGCTCCAGCTTCAAGGCATCTGGCTGAAGCTGGTTATACTGCAAATATAAGTGTTTTGCCTGCACAGTTTTTAATGCTATTCTTGCTGTAAACCAAAGTAAGTAAATCTTATTTTTAAACTTACTTCACAAGTTATTGCCTGATTCTTTGTTAAGTGGGGTAAGAATGGGGAAGCCAGCTTACTTCATAATGTTTTACAGCCTGATTCCCATGCTTTAAATTTTGCTGCCAATGAAGGGAATTTTGAAACTCTGTTCAACCCACACATGTGGACACCTGGAGGAATGAATTGCAGTTAATATATCCTCTCCTACCCATTAAAGCCCATCCCACATGTTCCTCCACCACAACTGAAGCACCCTTGCAAAGAGGACTACACTTCCCAGGATTCCCTGGGGGGAAAGTCATGTGTTTCAAAGTTGGCTGAAAACTCTTTAAACATGTAAGGTGGAGGCAACAAAGGCTCATTCCTCCAACCTGGCGCTCTGAATCAAAAAACGTTTCCCATACTGTTACGAGTTTGTCTGGGAGGAAGTGCGCTGTGCAAGGTCCTTTCAAAGCTAGGTAAGCCCCTGGAAGCCCTGATATCTCGCACCGCTTGGTTTAGAGAGAGGTTGGTGGACTCAGGAAGCGTGGGCGGGAAGCCACTCGAGGAAGCTTCGATGACTTCTTTTCAGTGCTCTTTCTAGTGACAGAAAGGGGCAGAGACCAACCACAAGCCGCCCGCGTGAGATGGAGGAGTGGATGTCTGGACGCTTGTGAGCCGGTTGCAGCCCCAAGCCTACCCCATGGGGTGGTAGTGAAAATAAAGCAGGGGAGGGGCGGCAGGTACCCCCGCACTCTTTGGAAGGAGATGCCAGAGAGAGGAGGGACACCAGCCTGAAGAGAAGGGGGAGGGCCCTGTGGCTCACACGGGCGTAGCCAGGGGAGTGCAGGGGGCAGCTGCCCCCCTAAATCAAGCAAATATATAAAAATATTTATCTAACTGACCAATTGCGTCGCAGATAACTCGGTTTTGCTCCACCTTAACATAAAGCCTGCCCCCCTAAAATAAATCCTGGCTACGCCCATAGTGGCTCAGTGGGAGGAGCGCCTGCTGTGCGTCCCAGGTTCAATTCTCGCCGGAATCTCCTGCGGAGGCCCCCTGGACCCTGCCTGAACCTCTGGACAGCCGCTGCTGCCAGTCAGTGTTGGTAATACGGTGCTAGATAAAAGGGTTGCCAAAGAAAGCTACCCTTCCCCCGCCTACTGACTTCTAGGGGGACCTCCTCCCAGGTGAATGTGTGGCACGGGATGGCAGCCTTCTTGAAGGCGAAGGAGGGACCAGGGGGCGCCTCTGACTCCCTCTTCCCGGCTTCGTCTGCCTTCGTCCCCGCCCACTCTTGGTTCTTTTGCGCTCCTGCTCGGCCGGTAACAGCGGAGACTGCGACCCTCTCCAGGCGTGAAAAACCCGCGAGGGAGTCTTCCCATCCGCCGCCCGGAGCTGCGCGCAGCTTCTCTGCTGGAAGCGCGAAGTCGCCGAGGGGATGGAGCAAGATGAGCCACGACCCGCGGGAAGTTCGGGGACAGTCCCAAGCCTGGGACGGGCGGGGGGAGAATAAGGGCCGGCCTTTCCGGGGGTCCTCCTCCATGGACACACCCCGACACACATTCTTGGTCAGCCTCCGACGCGAGCGCGCAGCAGCCCAGCTGGGCTAGCCGGTCTTGCGCGCGCGCCAGCAGCAGGCACGTGTGAGTGTGTGGGTCCTGGCGCGCGCGCAGGTGGGCGGGGGGGGGCGGAGAGAGGGAGAGAAGGGGGAGGCGCTGCGTGAGTCCCCAGCGCGCATGTCCGCTTTCTCCCAACCCCGGCAGCTGCAACCGCGGAGCCCGTCACCAAAGCCACTGAAACAGTAAGCGGGAGAGCTGGCGATGGCGAGGGAGGCGGACGGAGCCCGACTGGCGGCGCGGCTGAGGCTGTTCTAGGGAGACCGGCGGGGAGGCATCTGCCGGGGGCTCATTCCCAACACCAAAGGAAGCCCCCCCCCAGCCGCGTCTCCCTCCTGGAATAAAACCCAAATTCTAGCCAGCAACATCCCAGGCCGGGCGAGCCAGCGAGCGAGCTTCGGAGCGGCCTCGGGGGCAGGGAAGGTGCCGGCGTTGCAGGCGAGCCGGCAAAGGGAAGCGCTTCCTCGGTGCCTCGCGGGCCACCCCAAGCCAGATAGATGTGCGCGCCGCCCGCCCGCCCACGCGGCCACCATGAACACCCAACTGGCGATGGAGACTCTGGGCGACCTCCACGGAGTGAGCCATGAGCCGGGGCCCGACCTGCTCCGGAGCGCCCACCCCCGCGGCGGCGGCGGCCAGAGCAACCACTTGGCCCACGGCGCTCGCCCGCTGGGCATGGCCGCCCTCCTGGACGGAGGGGACTACGCGCACCACCGGAGCGGCGCGGAGCACCCTTTGGGCGGCCCTCTGCACCCCACCATCACCATGGCTTGCGAGACCCCGCCTGGCCTGAGCATGAGCAGCACTTACACCACCCTGACGCCCCTGCAGCCGCTCCCGCCCATCTCCACCGTGGCGGACAAATTCCCCCACCATCACCATCACCCCCACCACCCCCACCACCCGTCTCAGCACCCTCATCATCCTCACCAGCGGCTGTCGGGCAACGTGAGCGGGAGCTTCACCCTCATGCGGGACGAAAGGAGCCTGGCCGCGTCCATGAACAACCTGTACTCGCCCTACCACGCCAAAGACGTCCCCGGCATGGGGCAGCGCCTCTCTCCGCTCTCCGGCTCCGGCCTGGGCGGGCTGCACGGCTCCCAGCAAGGGCTCCCCCACTACGCTCACCCGGGAGCCGCCGCCGCCGCCGAGAAGATGCTGGCCCCCAACGGCTACGAAGCGCATCACCCTGCCCTGCTGGCCAGGCACGGCGAGCAGCACCTGACGCCGACCTCGGCTCCCGGCATGGGGCCTCTCCACGGGATCCCGCACCACCCCCACGCCCACCTGAGCGCGCCGGGCCACGGGCAGATCCTGGGTGCCGGGCCCCGGGAAGCCCACCCGGGAGCGGCGGCGGCGGGAGCAGCGGCGGCGGCCTCCGGGCAGGTCAACGGCGGCGGAAGCGGCTCGGGGCAGATGGAGGAGATCAACACCAAAGAAGTCGCCCAGAGGATCACCACCGAGCTCAAGCGCTACAGCATCCCGCAAGCCATCTTCGCCCAGCGCGTCCTCTGCCGCTCCCAGGGGACGCTCTCGGACCTGCTGAGGAACCCCAAGCCCTGGAGCAAGCTCAAGTCCGGCAGAGAGACTTTCCGCAGGATGTGGAAGTGGCTACAGGAGCCCGAATTCCAGAGGATGTCCGCACTCAGGCTGGCAGGTGAGCGGTGGGGATGGGGAGGGAGGGAGGCAGCAGCGGGCCGAGGCGAGGTGGGGGGGCTGCACACGCAAGGGGCTCTCTCGGCTTTGTTCCCCTTCGGCCAGCTCGGCCAAAACGCCCCCTGCACCGTTCCCAAACAAAGGCCCACCAGCCCGAAGATTGAGGATGGAGTGGGTGGCCACTGGGGGAGAGGGGTGTGTAGTGTCGTTGCGGTGCCTTCAGGAGCTAGGCAGGGACCTCTCCGCGCGGCCTTTTTTTCTTGTCGCTCCCTGGCCGCGGATCCGGCTGGTCTTCCGAGGCGCAGAGCTGGCCTACAGCGCTTTGTGGCGCGTCAGGATGGGGCAGGAATCGGGGCCACGTGGAAAGCCCCCCCCCCCGCCGAAAGCGTTTTCCACGCGCTCTCCTCGCGTCCGGAGTCGCACGGTTGTGCCAAGGGGCTGCGGCAGACACACACATACACACACACACACGGCCACTGCAAGAGGCGGCGGCCGGTGGCTGCAGCTCTGGCGTTTTCACCTAAACGTCCTCGGTCCTCCTGCTGCCCTGCTCCTTCTCGCGTGGAGGCCTCCTCTTACACGCGTGCGCCGCTGGGTGTCTTCCAGTCTGTCCGGATTAATGTCCAAGCTGGTGGCTGCAGGTCCCTTTGGATCGCGTTCAGTGCACCATTCCTTGCAAACAGAGCTCGTTACTGTGTTGATATTTGGACCTCCCGCCCGCCTCTTGCTTTAGGCGTGTTCTTTTGCTTTGCTTTTCAGCAAATACAGTAATAGCCAACGGTTTGCCCACAAAATTTTCCAGAAGCCAAAGTCAGGAGCTTCCTAGCTGGCACCTCCGAGGGCGAGGAGGGTCAGGCGAAAGGCTGGCCTGGGAAGGGGTTTCTTCCGCCTCCTTGACCCCGCAGGTCTCGGTTACACAGGAGAGGCGTTGGGCACAGCTGGCTCTCTCTCTGCAGGGTCTCTCGGCTGTGTGGATGGAAAGAGAAACGAGGCGAGCTGTTCGGCTGAACTCCCTGGTGAAAGGCTGGCCTGGCGCGGTGGTGGAGGAGCGCGCAGGTCCTGCGCAGGTGGCGCCCGTGCGCTTCAGAGCAGCGGCGCCTGGAAGAGCCGAGGAAGTTTCTGGCTTTTGGAGGCGCTGGCTGCTCGCCCTGGAAGACAGCTCTTGTTTCCCTCCGGGCTCGGCCTGCTGCCTGCAACCCGGCAAAAGCTTTCAACAGCCCGCAGAACTGAGGCTGGCGAAATGACCCTTTGACTGGGGGAAGTCCAAGCCGCCGAGGAGACCCGAGCCGTCGAGGCTCCCAAGCAAGAACAGCGCTTGCCGGGAAAAGTCGTGCAAGGATGCGGCAAAAGTTGCGCAAAGCGTGCGCATCACCCACGGCTCCGTCCTGCCTTTCAGGAGTGCCCGGCTGGAGGCACTTTGGACGGCTCTCCTGCTGCCAAGAGGCTGCTTCCGTGGGGAGGGCGGCTGGGCGGAGAGAGAAGAGATTCCCCTTCGATTATTGGGAGGGGATTTGCATAGATCGATACTGGAAGGAAACAACCCTTGATCTCGGAATCACTCGACACGCCCTTTCCTCGAGAGTGAAGTCGGTGCGCGCGCGCAAAGCAATTCTCGTGGCTGGAACTGGAAGGTTGCATGTATTTTTGTAATGCAGTTTTGAAATACATTTCGTTATTTTTATTATATAATAATTATGAGTGCATCCTATATGTTACAGCCGAGGCTGTATAAGACTACGGGATTCCCTACCCCGCTTCTCCCCTGATCATTTCTGCGGGGAACGGACGACGAGTGAGGAGCCTGAAGCTCCCTGCTTGGCCATTTTTGCTCCACCAGCCCCGGGCAGCTCCAGGGCGGATTGTGGCCACGAGGCGGTGACACCCCCGAGTAGCCGCAAAGAAGGCGCCTGCAGCGTCCGAGGCGGCTTCCCCGCGGTGCCGGCGGCCTAGAGGTCTCTGTCTTCGAGGAAGGCTTTCTCCTTCCTCCCCGGTGGCTCCTCGGGGAGGGCCGGGCAGGTTCTGGACCGCCTTCCCGCGCCTCCTCGCCCCGCCGCCGCTTTTCCTGGCTTCGAGCAGAGAGCCAAGCCAAGCAATCTGCGGCAAATGCACCCACGATCGATTTTATTTTGTGCAGGTTTTAAAGGCGAGATGATCTTCCTAAGTGGCAAAAATCTGCGCCGATTGATATTGATGTATGAACATCAGTTCGAAACGTCGTAAATTACTCCAGGCAATGCAAATTAAATTTCGCCTCCGGATTATAACTCGCTCTCCGGCATTTAAGGGAAGAATTATCGGGCCGTTTAAGATCCCGCAGCAGCAGCAGCAGCAACTCGCCCCTTCGCTTCCCTCATTTCCACCTCTCGGCTTTTTCCAGTGGTCCGAAGCACGTGGCATCTGCCGAGGTCTCTCTCTCCCCCCGCAACCGCCCCTCCAAGCTGCTCTCGCCCCCATGAAGCGCCCTGCCAGGCAGCCCAGCTGGCCCAGAATGACAAGGGGGCGGCTTCCAGCGCCCATCCAGCGTCTCCCAGCCCGCCATCTCCTAGGCTTAGCTGCGGCTTAACTGCCCGGAGAAAGGCCCAGGGAGGGGGGCTGGGCCGGGCAGGTGATGAAAAGTTTGGCCAAGTTGCCCTTTGCCGGAGAGAGCCTGGCAAACCGAAAGGAAGAAATGGCGGACCCCAACTGACTAGGAGGGGGGCACAACAAGAAAGGGTCCCTTGGGGGATGGGGTGGAGAGAGCGAGCAAGAACATCGGGGTTTCTTCTTCTTCTTCTTCTTCTTCTTCTTCTTCTTCTTCTTCTTCTTCTTCTTCTTCTTCTCCTCCTTCTCCTTCTCCTTCTCCTTCTCCTTCTCCTTCTCCTCCTCCTCCTCCTCCTCCTCCTCCTCCTCCTCCTCCTTCCCCTTCCCTGGAAAAGTTTCACTGGGCAGCGAATGGGGCGGAATCCTTGAAATAGGAATAAAGACCGAGGATCCTCTCTGCGCGTTTCGCAAGCATTTAAATTCGTGTCTCCTCTTGATCTTTCCAGACAATTGCACTAAAAGGGGTCTATTTCTTTCCGGTGCGCTATAAAAGAAACCTGGACTGGGTGCGGGGGTGCGGCTTTGCGTTTTTGTTCCTGGCAAGGTTTCACCGGTGACGTTGAACGCGCCCCTCCCCCAGGCAGCTTCTTCAGAGAAAGGCGAAATCCTGCCGCGGCTTTCCGCTGGGTCTGCTCCGACTTCCACTCAAGCCAGGAATTGCAGAAGCTTCCGCAGCAAACCAAGGGTGGGTTTTTCCAGGGCCTCTGCCCTCGCCTCCTTCAGCTGGGTTTCAGAGCTCCCTGCCTGCTCAGTGACAGAGCATCTGCTTCGCAGGCACAAGGTCCAAGGGTCAGTCCGGGTACCTGCCAGATAACCCCGCCGGAAACCACTCACTGCCCATGCTGAGCTAGGTAAATCAATGGCTTGACTAAGTGCCTAGGAGCCAGCTTCTAGGGGCTGAGGTCCCTCCCTGAAGGAGCGTCTCCACCTCCATCGTTCTGCCCGGACACTGAGGTCCAGCACCAAGGGCCTTCTGGCGGTTCCCTCACTGCGAGAAGCAAAGCTACAGGGAACCAAGCAGAGAGCCTTCTCGGTAGTGGCACCCGCCTCGTGGAACGCCCTCCCACCAGATGTGGGAAAAATAACTACCAAACTTTTAGAAGACATCTGAAGGCAACCCTGTTCAGGGAAGCTTTTAATGTTTAATAGGTTGTTGTATTTTAGTGTTTTGTTGGAAGCCGCCCAGAGTGGCTGGGAAAACCCAGCCAGATGGGCGGGGTATAAATAATAAATTATTATTATTATTATTATTATTATTATTATTATTGCCCCCCCCCAGTTAATGGGCATTGACATTAAAATGGTGTGCATGCACCAGGTCATGTGATCAGTTATGTAGGGTGGGGCTTACCTGGGTCCTCAATGTTTTATTCAAATTGGCACCCCTGAGTCACTGCAGTGATGCACCTAAATCCACCTGGCTGGCTGCCTAGGCTTTCTACTGCACAGGTGCCAGCAGGGGGTGAGTATAGGGGGCAAGTCGTTCAGGTGGAGAAGGTCCTCTTCATCATGGGTAGGCAAACTAAGGCCCAGGGGCCAGATTCAGCCCAATCACCTTCAAAATCTGGCCCGCAGATGATCCAGGAATCTGCATGTTTTTACATGAGTAGAATGTGTCCTTTTATTTAAAATGCATCTCTGGGTTATTTGTGGGGCATAGGAATTGGTTCTTTCTTTTCCAAAATATAGTCCGGCCCCCCACAAGGTCTGAGGGACAGTGGACTAGCCCCCTGCTGGAAAAGTTTGCTGACCCCTGGTCTTCGTCTTCCGCTGGAAAAAGGCCCAGTGCTGGAGGAATTAAGATGAAGAGAGAAAAGCTTCCTATTTTCACCTGGGATGAAGGAAAGGAGATAGAGAGAGGAGAGTTGTTGCAGGAGGAGGAAGGGAATGTGAGGGGAAAGGAGAGGAGATGCGAAATAAACTGGCAATGGGTGGCGGAGTAGTAGTAATAATAATAATCATAATAATATTATTTATACACCGCCCATCTGAGTAGAGTATAGCTCACATGTGAGAGGAGAAGGAGAGGGGGGAAATCACAGTGGACTAATAAAAACACATTGAGAGGCATGGAGAGGGGGAAAGTAAAATATGGACTTTCCTACTTAGATCCTCTGGATCAGCAAATTCTGTCTTAAATGAGGAGGCTGTGTCGCCAGCCCTCCAGAGCCCAATGTCTGTACTTAGCTCGGGGAACACTGAACTATGGAACTCCTTGCCACAAGGAAATCACAGTGACAAGAATTTAGCCTTTCCAATGGAAATGCTAACTGACTACTCATCTCCACCTCCACCTGCCGCCATTTGGGGTCTGACCTCACCTCTGCAATGCCAGTGGTCAGAGGTGGTTGCAGTCCAGCACCTTCTGGAGGGTCGCCAGTTCCCCACGCCTTGCTGTAGAACAACCCCTCAGCCCGTTTT